ATGGGCAGGTGACATGAAAATGGGCATGATTGCTGCTGGCCCCCACGAACTCGGACCATTGAAAGGTTTTGATGGAAAAGTGTACTCGACAACTGTTGGAAGACCACTAAGTACGAAAAGAAGCGTGAACGAAGGGCAGCCTTACGCGGCAAAATTCCACCCAAAAAATTTTTGGAAGGGGCTTTGTTGGCTTGTTTAGATTTTAAGGAGTATTGCAGTAGTGTTCGTGCTGGTTTGTTGGTGTGCAGGTATGCAAATACAGTGTTTGTTCGCTGCGGATGATAGAGCGAGTGAAGGGAGGATGGGATTGCCAGCCCGTTTTTCTTGACAAATGACAAGATTGTATGCTATCGTCTGCAGTCCTTTTCCACCAGTTGTTGCCGCCTACCTGCTTCAGCAACTAGGGGAGAACGGGCTGGCTGCGCGCCAAACCCAGGCTTTTTGACACGCTCCATAATCCACAGCGAATTGTGTGGGTTCAGCAACCTTCCCGCTAGCCGTGTCCATGAAACAGTTCCCATTCTGGTGCTTGATGACTGCCAGCAAAAATGACCTAGCAAAGTATGCCTATAGTGTTGAAGCAATTCAAGCGACCGAGCAGTAGGCAACAGAAGAAGTATCAAGGCATCTCATTTTGTTTCCGTTGGAACTCTTCTGAATGGAAGCAAGTGCAATTGTCTGGTCATAGTTAACAGATGTTTGATAATACTTCATTCTTTATTATTATGTGAACAATCCAAGCGTGCAATTATGAAAGTGTATTCCTGGCGTTGGCGAAAAGTTCGCCATCACTCATGAAGTCAGCACGAGCAGAAGAAAATTCACAACGAATTGTAAATTGAATATCAGTGGTACGGCATCTGAATAGAACAAGGCATTCGTATAAAGGCTCAAAAACCATATAATTTCACTGGCTGTTCCTCAGTGGGCGACAAGCCTCGATAATCCAGGAAATTGTGGACTTTATCAATGTCAATTGTGTTCCTAGGGTATTGTTCAGGGGATTAGTATTTCCGTCGATCGCGAACCACGAACAACACAATCTTTTCGATAATGCTAGCTCTTTTTTGTTCCCTGGGTTCTCACGTCGTTTTTTGACCCGTTGTACACATACTACTGACTTTCATACCCCTCTTTTCGAGATCGACGAGTGAACCCCGGGCCGTGGAGTCTCTTCCCTCGAAACAGCTTATCCCCTAGCTAGCGACATGTTTTCTGCACTTTTTTTGATGCCGTGGTAGCCGCAGCCGCAGTGAAAGTTCTAGTTGTCAGTAA